AAGTTGACAAAAACAAAACAAATTAAAACAACTAAGACATAACCACATGGGTAATATATGAATACATGTAAAATTCTGAGTTTGTCAACTTTCAGTAGAAATGCAGGTCCCTTGGGAAACTTGTTAAAATGCAGATTCTAACTTGCTGATTCTAACTTGGATAGGGACTGAGACTGTCTTTCTGAAAAGCCTTTTTTTTAAATTAAGGCAAAGAACAATGATTAAAATGTATGTCCTTTATCCCACTGAATTTGGATATATCTCTTATGGCACTCCATGATGTGATCTTGTTAAGCTTGGTTGAATCGGGTTTAGTTTCTGACAACAAATGACATGACAATACAAATAATACTACCTAAACCATTAAGGAAATGGAGAACAGAGCAAAACAGAACCTGAATCCTTCTGGCCACGTGACATCAGGAATTGATGAATCAGCATTTCCCTCAGCAATCTAATACCATTCCTAACACCCATATTGAGGTTACATTGGTCAGCTTTTCATTACAATAATGCAATCTTGAGACAATTATAAAGAAAAACAGTTTATTGGGCTCATGGCATTGGAGATTCCAGTCCATGATCAAGTGGCCACCATTGCTTTGGACCTCTGTTCAGATGGCACAGTTATGTGTCAGAGGTCCTACCTCCTGTTTGTCCCTAGTATCTCCTCCCCAGTGTGGTCAACATTGTCAGCTTGATTTGGTTGAGAGCTGCTGTAAAGCACCCTTATGTTAGTAAAACACCTGACCAAAGAAACTTAAAAAGTGGGCTCATTTTGGCTTACAGTTTGAGAGTGAGTGTCAAGGAAGCATGGTGGTGTAAGTGTGAAGTGACTGGCCACATTGCGTTTATAGTCAGGAGGAAGGGATAAAAGCTGGTGCTGTTAGATTTCACCCATGTATTCAGTCAGGATTCCAGTGCATGGGCTAGCACCACCCACATTCAGTACCCAGCTTTCCTTCTCAGTTAAACCTTTCTGGAAACACTTTAATAGGTAATGCCTGAGGTGTGTTTCCTAGTTATTTAAACCTATGTGAGCTGACAATGATTATCAGCCATCAGTTTGTATGGGTATGTCTTAGGGCTTCTATTGCTGTGAAGAGACACCATGACCACACCAACTCTTATAAAGAAAAACATTTAATTGGGGTGGCTTGCAGTTTCAGAGCTTTAGTCAATTATCATCTTGATGGGACATGGCAGCATGTAGGCAGACATGATACTAGAGAAGGAGCTGAGAGTTCTACATCTTGATCCGTAGGCAAAAGGAAGTGAATTGAGATACTGGGTGTGACTTGAACATATGAGACCACAAAGCCCACCTCCACAGTGACACACTTCCTCCAACGAGGCCACACCTACTCCAACAAAGCCACACCTCCCAATAATGCCATTCCCTGTGAGATTACGGTGGCCAATTATGCTCAACAACCTATTGGAGTTGACAATGAAGATTAGCCACCAGTTTGTATGGATGCTTCCTTCTTGTAAACCACTAATTTACCACAGCAGTGAGAAGCTATCTAACACAGCAGGCACAAGTCTTTAACACCTCTGTCTTTATGGGATGCTCAAACCTGTAGATACCACAGTATTGGAAATTAAGCCAACTTCCCCCTTCAAAAAACAAAACAAAAAAACCAAAATACTAGTCAGTACCTCATAGTTATTATGGGTTATGATTTCAGGTGCAGAAGGCGCCCTTGACTGTATCAATTCCTATCAGACAAACAGTGGTGTGAGCAAGACAGGAAGGCAGACATGAGGAAGGGTTCCACTTATAGTCTCAGCTTGACTCCATCTGTTAAAGGTCTCACAGCCTCCTAGAACTGTCACCCTAGAGGCCAAGCTTCTAATACAGGAATCTTTGGGGGGAACAAACTACATCCTAACCATAGTAATTTTCTGTATACAGAGAGGAGGGAGTATGGAAACTGGACTTCTCTGAACATAACACATATGCTGATTTTATTTTGGAAATAATGTTACTCTCCTATATAATTATAAAGCTAAATTTAAATAGTTTGCTTCTTTACATACTATTCGTTAATTTACTTATTGAAAGAGGAGCTCATGTATAAAGCTGGCCTTCAGTTCACCACATAGTGGAGGATGACACTGAACTTCTCAGCCTCTTGCCTTTGTCTCTCAAGTACTGGGATTACAGAAGTGTTCCATTGTGTCTGATGTATGTGGTGCTGGAGACATAGCCCAGGGCTTTAGGCATGCTAGGCAAGCATGCCTCCAACTGCACTGCATCCCCAGAACTAAACTTAAACATTAAATCCTAATCAAACTGAATTGAGTTGAAATGGAAAACAATTTTGTGTTACTCTCCATGAAGAGAAATTAATTCAAGTGACTTTCAAATGTAACAATCCTTTTTGTGGTATGTCCTAAGGACACAAAGAACTGCAAATAATATTAGTATTTTAATTCTGAAACTACTATCTATTTATTGGTAAATCAGATAAGTACTAATGTTGCTAGAACTTGAAGTTTAGGGAGAGATAAAAGAGGAAATATAAGTAAGATATATTGAATGTCAGCAACTATAAAAAAAATGGAAAATATTAGCATATGTTCAGGATGTGTTTTTCTATTCAAAAATGGAGTTTGGGGCTTGCAAGATGGCCTAGTCAGTAAAGTACCTGCCATGCAGGCAACAGGAGCTGAGCTCAGATCTCTAGAACACCCAGAAAAAGCAGGACATGGTGCTGTGTCTGTATCTCCTGCCTTGAGGATGAAGTGGAGACAGGTGGATCTCTGACACTCATTGGCTGGTCAGCCAAACTGAATCAGTGAGCTTCAGGTTCAGTGAGAGACTCTGTCTCTAACAACAAAAAATGTGGAGTTCATCCAAGGTCTATCTCAGCCTCCTCTCCTCCCACATACATGCTTACACACATTTCTATTTATAGAGGGACCTAGAAATGATGAGAAACCCAGTATAAAAATAATAATAATAATTTATTTTCCATTGCTGTGATAAAACAGTGGGACCAAGGAAACTTATGGAGAGAAGGGTTTATTTGGACTTTTAGTTCCAGAAAGATAAGGGTCTTTAGGCTTCTGTTTACCCAAACCAAAATCCTTCTGCTTAGGACATTGTCCTCAGCACTGTTGTTTTGGAGGATGCTGCTTTGGTTTTAACAGTAACTAAGACAATATAATCTTTTAAAAAGTTATTTATTTTTCTTTGACAATATTATCTTTTACTCATTCTACAATGACACTCTAATTCAGCTGCAAGATAACTCAGTGGAAATCAGAGGTTTGTCTTCCTATTATAAGAGAGACGGGGAGCCGGGCGATGGTGGCACATGTCTTTAATCCCAGCACTCGGGAGGCAGAGGCAGGCAGATCCCTGTGAGTTCGAGGCCAGCCTGGTCTATAAAGAGTTAGTTCCAGGACAGCCTCCAAAGCCACAGAGAAACCCTGTCTCGAAAAACCAAAAAAAAAAAAAAAAAAAAAAGAGAGCGAGATGGGAATGTGACTCCTTGGAAGCCCTGGGCAGACTTTGGGCTCTATGTGCTTCTAAGAGTTCTCTTTCCTGATGGTTTTGTGTGATACCAATCCATATTGAAAACGGATGGCCTGTTTAGTAACAGGATATTGCATAGATAATGGAGTATGACCTCCCAGCCTATGTCATAAAAGACACTGCCACCTCTATTTTCTCACGGAACACCACTCTGGAGAAAGCCAGCTGCTATGTTGTGAGGACGCTTCAGCTATCCTAGACAGGCCCACATTTGAGCTTCCCGCTAATCACCCTGCCAGTCTCATGATATCGAGGCACAATCCTCCAGCCCTTTTTCATTGACAGTACTTATTCATTCATTCTTTCTTTTTTTTTTTTATGAGAGGGTTTCTCTGTATTGTTTTGGAGGCTGTCGGTCCAGCCTGGCCTCGAACTCACAGAGATCCGCCTGCCTCTGCCTCCCGAGTGCTGGGATTATAGGCGTGTGCCACCACCGCCCGGCTTATTCATTCTTTCTTAATTTTATGCATATGAGTGTTTTGCCTGCACGTCTTTCTGTGTGCCTGATGCCTGCAGAGGTCAGAAGAATGTTCGATCCTCTGGAATTAGAATTATGGATATTTGTGAGTTGCCATGTAGGTAGGTACTAGATACTGAACCCTGTTCCTCTGCAAGACCAACAAATATTCTTAACCACTGAGCTACTGTTCAGTGATTAAGAGCACTAGCTATTCTTGCAGAGGGCCGGCCAGGGATAGGTTCCTGGACTCTCTGGTGAATCCCTCGATCTTTTCTGCCCTCAGCGAGCTTTAGGCACGTACCTGGGGCACAGGCAAACATACATGTATGCAAAAAAGCTCAAACACAAACCAACCCAACTTCCTGGCCTTCACACCGCCTCCTTCAGACAGGAGGTAAGTAAAGGATTTAGAATCCACCTCCTCCCACCAGTTGCCATGGAGACCAACCCAGGTCTTTTCATTCCTTCTGGTACCCGGAATGAAGGGTAGTAGCCCAAACACAAAGGAAGAGACGGGTGCCTGTACAGTACGGATGGTTTGGGGCCCCTTCCGAGCTACAGAACCAGACCCAGAGACAAAAGTTAAGGTTAGTCACGGCTCAAAGTCCTTCCTTCTGCTAAACTGGCTACTAATGGCTTCGGGGGCTCTAATGGGCTGAAGGAAGGCATGACTCACGAGCGCCAGCACTCGGCAGCGAGGAGAGACTAGGCAACGTCCCGGGAGAGTTCTAGGGAAAAAGGGAGTTGACTGGCCACCCCTCTCGTGTTTGTACAAGAGGGGGCGCCCCTCGCTCGACTCCTCCGTGCGCCGCCGCCATCACTCACTGCCCGCTCGGCTCCGTTGTCCTGAATGCCTGTCATTGGGTGGCAGCGCGGTCCCTTCGGCTCGAGTCACAGAGCCGATTGGACGAGAGGCCTGTCACTCGCCTACACTCAGCTCGGATTGGCTCGCTGCACGTTGGCGCAACGGAAGAGGCGGCAGCCCGCATGCGCCTGCGCTCAGCGGGCTGCGCGAAGACGGCGAGGCGGCGCTGGGGGGCTGGCTCGGGCGGCAACGGTGGCTGCTGCGGATGGGAGCGGGCCGGCTCGGTGCGCCTATGGAGCGCCAGGGCAGGGATGCCGCCACCTCAGCCGCAGCCGGCGAGTCGGTGTCCGTGGACGCCGAAGCGCGGAGGCGGGAACCGCTCAGGCGCCGGGCGAGTAGCGCGGTGCCTCCGGGGTCCGGGGCGGCGGAGGGCGTGAGACGAGAGCGGCCTGGCTCCCTCAGCGGCACCGCCTCGGCCGCCCGCCCGCGCGGCGAGGGCCTCCGGAAGAGGCGGCCGCGTAAGTGCCCCAGCTGGTCGTCGTTGTTGCGCGCGAGCGCTGCCCGCGCGGGGAGTCCCCGCCACTTCCTTCCTCCCCGCCTCCTGGGGCGTTCTTTTCCTGAGAATGCCTCGGTTTTATTCTTAAGAAGGCGCCTCCTCTCCCAGACCCTTTGGGTTTCCTACCGCGTTCACCAATTAAGCCTTTTATTTGGCGATTTCGAGCTCACTGGATAACTTTCCCCGTGAGGCGCCACGGGCCTAACATTCGAGTCTGGGCTTGGTACGCCTCTTGCTTGCTTGTCTTCCCGAGACAATTCAGGTCATCTCGCCCCCAGAGGTTTCCCCCATTTTCCTTCCAGTTCGCGGGAATTCTGGTTCCAGCTGTAGCATTTTGTGCATTACGACCTTTTCTTTGGAGGGGTGTCGACCTGCTCCTCAGTTTTGCCTAGGGAGTTACTCTTTACAGAGAATCGGTTTCTCACTTTATTACTAATTTGTATTTCTTACCTTGTGTATTTTCTCCCCTTTAAGACTTGTCTAGCAGCTATTATTGCTCAAAGTGTCAATTGCCCTGCTACTGTGCATAGGAACTTTGCATCATACTGTGCATTACACGTGGTTAAGACTTGGTTGTCAGCTTACTATATGAGGAAGCTAAATGATTAATGCAGGCTGTGAGAGTTATGGAACGTGGCCTGGTGTGTGAAGCCTGTGTTGGGTAGTCTGTGCCCAGCCCAACTAACTGCCCAATTGCCTTTATCGGTGATTTGAGTGGTTGGCTGTAGCTCTGGTTTGTCATGGAAAGATATATGTATGTATGTATATATATTGTCTTTTCTCGTGTTGCAAGAGATTTCATAATACAGGCTGCTTGAGAGTCGAAGGGATCTGAAGTTTAAGACCCTGTCCTAAAAAGAAAAAAGGAAGCCACTTTTTAATGTATTTTGGTGTGTGAATGTGTGTGGGTGAGTGTGCATGTGCGTGCGTGCGTGCGTGCGTGCGTGCGTGTGTGTGTGTGTGTGTGTGTGTGTGTGTAGATCAGAGAACAACTTTCCCTATTCTTGGGGATGGAGGGCAGTCTTCCACTGAGCCATCTCACTGACCCTGATGTGTCTGGTTTTTGTTTCATTGTTATTTTGTTTGCTTGCACATCTGTGTGAGGGTGTCACATCACTTAGAGCTGGATTGCAGACGGGTGTGAGCTGCCATGTGGGTGCTAGAAATTGAACGGTCCTCTGGAAGAGCAGCCAGGTGTGCTTCCCTCTGAGCCATCTCTGCGGCCTGTTTGTTTTTAATTGAAGACAGGAGTTGCAGTGTAGCCAAGTTGGTCTCCTATCCAGGACAACCCTGCTTTAGCCTCCTTAGTGCTGGGATTAGAAATGCACCACCACCACTCACTCCCCTCTTAGGCTTTCATCCTCTTTCTTCCATGAGTCAGTTTGAGCACAGGGCTTTGTACATGTGGTACATGTTTTGTCACTGTCCGGTATATAATATCCCTGGTTCAAGCAACTGTTTTGTTGTTTTGAGACAATCTCATATAGTCCAGATGGCCTTGAACTCTTGATTCTCTTGTCTACATCCCAAATTCTGAGATTACAGGCCTGTGCACCAAGCACCTGATTTTTTGTTTGTTTTTCAAAACAGGGTTTCTCTGTATTGGTTTGGAGCTTGTCCTGGAACTCGCTCTGTAGACCAGGCTGGCATGGAACTCACAGAGATCCACCTGCCAGAGCTTCCAGAGTGCTGGGATTAAAGGAATGTGCCACCAATGTCTGACTAAGTACCTGATTTTTTTTTTTTTTGGTTTTACGAGACAGGGTTTTTCTGTATTGTTTTGGAGGCTGTCGGTCCAGCCCGGCCTCGAACTCACAGAGATCTCCCTGCCTCTGCATCCCGAGTGCTGGGATTAAAGGTGTGCTCCACCACTGCCTGGCAAGTACCTGATTTTTAAGCAACACAAAAACATTAGTTCTACCAGGTGGTGGTGGTGCACACCTTTGATTACAGTTCTTGATTCCAGTATGATCTGAGTTCAAGGCCAGCCTGGTCTCCAGAGTGAGTTTCAGGGCCACCAAAGCTACACAGAGAAATCCTGTCTCAAAAACAGGAAAAAAATATAGTTCCTTTATGGGCCTGTTTTGTATTACATTATTTGACATGATTGTTGATTTTAGAGGTTTAACATTCGATGATTAGCCATATGTAGATAGTTGTTTGTGGCCACTGGTCACAGTATTTGGAATATTAGTTTTAATTAGTTTTGTGGGTCCAGCTCAGTTGAGCCTTCTGAGTGCCTGTAAGATATGTGGTGGTAGTCTGTTTCACTATCAGAGAAATGGTGCTCAGTGACAAGTATCTACTCTGGTGGAATATAAATGCAATTTAGGAATTTTAACCTTTGTGCTTCTGCTCATATCTACTCTTTTACTGAATTGTTTGTTTTGCTAGTTTTTTGTTTTTCATTGCTTTAGGCCAAACACAAACATGATCTTCTGTGTTCAAGCTGTCTTAAGGGGAAAAATTGTGACTACTAAGTACTGATCATAAAAAAGACCTACAGGGCTGGGGAGGTGGCTTGGTCAGTAAATTGGTTGCTTCAGAAGTATGAGGATCCAAGTTCAAATCACCAGAGCCCAGGCAAAAAATGGTATGCTGTCATGTGCCTGTAAATACAGTCATGGCCATGTAGGCAGATCCCTAGAAGTTTACTGGCTAGTTGCCTAGCCTACTTGGCAAAGTTTCAGGCCAATGAGAGTCACTGCCTCAAAAAGTAGAAGGCACCTGAGGAGCTACACCCATGCACATGCTTGAACTTCAGTTTGTACTTGTACATTCTCATATATGAATGTTATAGAGAGTTAGAGCAGATTTCGGGTTCCAATTCAGTGGTTGTAATAAGAATTGGAAAGGTGGTGGTTCACATCTTTAATCCCAGCACTTGGGAGGCAGAGGCAGACATCACTGAGTTCAAAGGCCAGTCTGGTCTACAGAATGAGTTCCAGGACAGGTATACAGAGAGACCCTGTCTCAAAACAAAGTCTGAAGAGGTGTTGAAGAAGCTGCCTTAATGAGATGTGGTGACTCATGGTTTTAATCTGACTGAGCAGTTGGGAGGTAGAGGCAGGTGGATCCTTGTATTCAAAGACTGGCCTGGTCTATAGATTGGGTGCCAGGACAGGCAGGGTTATGTAGAGAAACACTGTCTCAAAAAGGAAAAAAAAAAAGTTGCCTTATAAACAAGTCATTGAGCTCCGAAGGATTCAAAGACAATTGGGAAAACATATGTGTATGTTAAAGTGGTTGGGCTGCACCGGGTGTTGGTGGCGCACGCCTTTAATCCCAGCACTCGGGAGGCAGAGGCAGGCGGATCTCTGTGAGTTCGAGGCCAGCCTGGTCTACAAGAGCTAGTTCCAGAACAGCCTCCAAAGCCACAGAGAAACCCTGTCTCGAAAAACCAAAAAAAAAAAAAAAAAAAAAAAAAAGTGTTGGGCTGTATATGTTGTATTAAATTGGCCTCAGAAGTTTTTGAAGGTACTAGACACACAAAAGTTGGGCTTATTTATTTTTTGGGGACCGCGTTTCTTGTTTCCCAAGCTGATCCTTAGTTGTATAGCAGAAGATGACCTTGGACTTGATCCTCTTTACCTCCAGAAGGCTGAGATTACAGGTTTTTGTTACTATGTTTGCTTTATCTGGTGCTGGGGATTGAACCCAGGACTTTCTGAATGTTAGGCAAGCACTCTGCTCACGGAGCTACATCCCTTACCTTTTTTCCCCAAGTATAAACAAACCACAGGTGTTTACTTACTTTTTTGTTTTTGTTTTTGTTTTTATGAGACAGGGTTTCTCTGTATTGCTTTGAAGGCTTACTTATTTTTATACTTATTTATTTTGGTGTGTATGTATCTGTATGTGTGCAAGTGAAGACACATATGGAGAGTTCAGAGGACAACCTGTAGGAATTGGTTTGCTCCTGTTTGGTCAGTCTTGGGGATTGAACTCAGGTGGTCAGGTTTGGAAGCAGGTGTCTGTACCCACTAAGCTATCCTGTCAGCCTATTTACTTTTTTAATACGGTATCTGATATTGGCCATATTCCTTTTCTTTGCTTTCTCTGATTGTCAGATAAATCATGATAAACTAGTTCAGATAATGAACCTGCTGAAGAAACGGGTTTTTTGTTATTGTTGGTCTCAGGTATAGCAAAGACAGGAGAATTGGCTAGAAGCAGAATCAGAGTCCCTGTATCAATAAAGTGGACGAAGAGAACTGACTCCTGAAAAGCTGTTCTGTGACCTCAATACACATACTGTTGGCACAAGAGAATAAGATTTTAAAAAGAAAATATGAAGACTGGGGCCATAATGCAGGAATCTCTGATCTCAGGATTGTATAAACCAGGTGTGATGGCACCTGTATCATTCCAGCACTAAGAGGACAAGGCAGGAGGATAAAATCATTTTTGGTTATACAGTGAATTCAAGACTTGTCTGGAATATATGAGATTCTGTCTCAAAAAAAAAAAGAAATATGGGGTAAAGATGTAACTTGGTAGAGTTGTAGCTTGGCAAATATTTGGCAATTTTAGCATTGCTTTAAATAGGGAAAAATGATGGCAGCAAGATGCTAATGATAGGTATGTAACTACCAATTTTTTTTTTTTTTTGGTTTTATGAGACAGGGTTTCTCTGTATTGTTTTGGAGGCTGTTGGTCCAGCCTGGCCTCGAATTCACAGAGATCCGCTTGCCTCTGCCGAGTGCTGGGATTAAAGGTGTGCTCCACCACTGCCCGGCCAACTACCAATTTTTTTTAAAATAGTTTTCATTTTATGTGCATTGGTGTTTTGCCTACATGCATGTCTGTGTGAGGGTATCAGATCTTGGAGTTATAGACAGTTGTGATCTGCTGTGTGGGTGCTGGGGATCGAAATTGGGTACACTGGGTGAGCAGTCAGTATTCCCAGCCACTGAGCCATCTCTCTAGCCCCATAGATACCAATTTCTAGGTGTTTGTTAG